TCGTCCCCCCCTTGGCGGAGTTTACACTTGGCTGGAGGTTGGACGCACCCCACCCACTCCATGCATTTTCACAAAGACCTTGGTTTGTGGTTTTGCGGCGCTTGCGGATTTTTCGGTCAGGCCCAGCTCAGAGGGCTAGGAAATCCGTGCCGCCCACAGTCGATCACCAAGGCCAGGCGCGAGTATTTAGATCGTATCTCTCGCGACCTGTTTCCCAAAGCCTAAGCCAGCAAGCTTATATCACTACGTGATGGCGGAAATCCTGGAAATCCTCCTCCTCCTCCTCCGCCTGCTCCTCCTCCTCCTCCTCCTCCTCCTCCTCCTCCTCCTCACCCTCCTCCTCCACCGCCTGCTCCTCCTCCTCATCCTCCTCCTCCTCCTCCTCCAAACCCTCGGATGTTGACTGACAGGGGGGGCGAACGGGACCACGGGGTAGGGCTCCCCGGAAAACGCGGCCGTCCCTGGTCCCATCCCTGCCTGTGGCCAGGGACGGGGAACGGGCCGCTTCCCCCCACGCCAGCCTTGAACAGATGTGTGTATGTGTATAGATAAGATGCTAAAACCACGCGCGCGCTTCTCGCGCGCTTAGGTTCTAGTGCAAGCCCAATCGCTGCGCCAAGTATGGGATTCATTCGTGCTACGATGTTTATCGAGAATGATGCCTTCTTGCGTCGCATTGTGTTTCCCCCCTCTTTCATTTCCTCCCCAGTTTCGTCCTCATCCTCTTCTCCCCCTGCTCTTGAGACCTCCTCTTCCTTCGCATTATTCGCATCCTCCCCCTGCTGATCGTCCATTGCCCCTTCGTCGTCGTCGTCATCCTCCTCCTCATCATCACTATCCTTCCACTTCCTCATCTTCCAAGACGGCTGAGAACGGCCGAAGCAGTTATCTTCACGCCGAGAACGTCCACCTTCTCCTCCTCCTCCTCGTCCTACTCCGCCTCCTCCGCCTCCTCCGCCTCCTCTTCTTATTATTATTCCTCCTCCTCCGCCTCCTCCCCCTTCCCCTCGTCCTCCTCGTCCTCCTCATCCTCCTCCTCCTCCTCCTCCTCCCTCCTCCTCCATCCTCCTCCATCCTCCTCCATCCTCCTCCCTCCTCCTCCATCCTCCTCCTCATCCTCCTCCTTCTCCTCTTCCTCCTCCTCCTCCTCAAGCACATGCGGCTCAGAACAAGGGTCCGTAAGCATGTTGGCTTATCGCTCTGTCCCGAGTCGCACCTCGACGCCTCACCGTGGCGCTTGAGTGGCACCTGCTTCGGACCATCGTGCACGGTCGATCGGGTTGGCTAAGTCGAGGTGAAGTGAGCAAAACGTGTTCTGATGTGCTCATTGGGTACGAGCCCCAACGGGCCGTACGGTATTGTTTGGGGCAGCGGCAGAACAGGTTGGTAGTGTCAATGCATGGGGACGTTTAGCAGTGGCAGCAGGCAATGTTGCGACCAAGCGCGATGCAGGTCCCAACGTATTGTGGTGGGTGTAACGGCTCTCGTCTTCTACATCGCGTGGGCGGAGGCCTGCCGTCATCCGCTTCAGTGCTGGTCTCTCCCACTGCCGCATGGGGAGTGCTTTAGTGTTAGTAGTGTGCACGCCCAGCGGAGTGCAGTTCCCGTCAGCTACAATAATGGCATCTCCCATTGCCGCTTGAGGGCTGTATATATGGTGCGTGCTGGTGATATTCCATCATGTGGTTGCTGCACGGTTCAATGTGCATGTGTGCGGTTCTCGGCTCTTACGTGCGCGAATGTGAACAGCATTCTCATGTGCTTCAGTCAAATGGTGTGTTGTCCGATCCCGTGCAAAGTGCCACGGTTAGCGGGCAGTTTTCGGGTACCGCAATTCAGTGGTGTTGAACATGGTGCAGTCGTGGGCAGGCAGTGCGTCATTGTTGTCGCCTGTCTTCACTGTTGCAGTGCACCTCTCAACGTGTATCGCGGTCTGGTGGTCAGCCTCCTGTGCGGACAGGGGCCGAGGAACACGAGGCTACTCATATATCCAATAAGGTGAAGGCCGTTTCCAAGTCACAACCAATGCATTCCAAGTGGTGGATGTGTGATGTGACACGTTTTCTGCTGCTCGGTGGCGGTGGCGCGCGTGCCAGTAAAGTGGGAGGCGTTGGTTTCTCAAGTGGCGGTGCGCTGCCTTCGGAAGGGATTCGAGAAATTGTTCATTCAGTTCACGCGCTCCGTGTTCCTTGTCGTCCTGTGCGCCTTCAAAGTCAGGGGGGCACTGCCGTTCGGATATGACAATGTCATAGCGCATTCATAATTGACACCTGCTTCTCCTCCTCCTCCTCCTCCTCCTCCTCCTCCTCCGCCTCCTCCTCCTCCTCCTCCTCCTCCTCCTCCTCCCCATCCCCCCCATCCTCTCCCTCCCCTCCTCCGACTCCTCCGCCTCCTCCTCCTACGCCTCCTCCTCCTCCTCCTCTCGTCTCCCCCCGCCTCCTCCACTTCCCTCCCCTCCCTCATTCTCCTCCTCCTCCTCCTCCTCCTCCTACATTCCTCCTCCTCCTCCTCCTCCTCATCCTCCTCCTCCTCCCTCCTCCTCTCCTCCTCCTCCTCCTCCTCCTCCTCCTGTCCCTCCTCTCCTCCCCCCCCCCCTCCCCATCCTCCTGCTCCGCTTCTCCTCCGCGTCCTCCTCCTCCTGCTCCTCCTCCTCCTCCTCTCCTCCTCCTCTCCTCCTCCTCCTCCTCCTCCACCTCCCTCCTCCTCCTCCTCCTCCCCCCCCCCTCCTCCCCCTCCCCCTCCCCTCCTGCTCCTCCTCCTCCGCCTCCTCCTCCTCCTCCTCCTCGTCATCATCATCAGCATCATCAGCATCATCAGCATCATCATCATCATCATCATCATCATCATCATCATCAGCAGCAGCAGCATCATCATCATCATCACCACCACCACCACCACCACCACCATCATCATCATCATCAGCATCATCAGCATCATCAGCATCATCAGCATCATCATCATCATCATCATCATCAGCAGCAGCATCATCATCATCATCATCACCATCATCATCATCACCATCACCATCACCACCATCATCATCATCATCATCATCATCATCATCATCATGGTCATCATCAGCATCATCAGCATCATCAGCATCATCATCATCATCAGCATCATCATCATCATGGTCAGCAGCATCATCAGCAGCAGCATCATCATCAGCATCAGCATCAGCAGCATCATCACCATCATCAGCATCATCATCAGCAGCATCAGCATCATCAGCATCATCATCATCCGCATCAGCAGCATCATCATCATCGTCATCATGATCAGCATCATCATCAGCATCATCATCAGCATCATCATCATCAGCATCAGCATCAGCATCAACATCTTCATCATCGTCATGGTCATCATCCGCATCATCATCAGCAGCATCATCAACGAATCATCACCATCACCATCAGCATCATCATCCGCAACAGCAGCATCCGCATCCTCATCAGAATCATCATCAGCATCAACAACATCATCAGCAGCAGCATCAGCAGCAGCATAATCATCATCATCATCAGCATCATCATCATCAGCATCATCAGCAGCATCAGCATCATCATCATCAGAAGCATCATCATCGTCAGCATCATCAGCATCAGCAGCAGCATCAGCACCATCATCATCAACAACCATCATCAGCATCATCAGAATCATCAGCAGCAGCATCATCGGCATCAGCAGCATCATCATCGTCAGCATCAGCATCATCATCAGCAGCATCATCATCGGTAACAGCGTCATCATCAGCATCATCAGCATCATCAGCATCAATAGCAGCATCAGCATCATCAGCATCGTCATCATCATCATCACCACCACCACCGTCAGCATCATCATCATCATCAGCATCATCATCATCACCATCAACATCATCATCAGCATCATCATCCTCATCCGAACCAGCATCATCATCATCCTCCTCCTCATGATCAACAGCATCATCAGCATCATCAGCAACATCAGCATCATCATCATCATCATCAGCAGCATCATCATCATCAGCAGCATCGTCATCATAATCAGCATCATCCTCAGCAGCATCATCATCCTTTCCACCACCCTCATCATCCTCATCATCAAGAGCATCATCAGCAGCAGCATCATCACAATCAGCATCAGTATCAGCCGCCGCATCATCATCAGCATCATCATCATCACCATCATCAGCATCACCAGCGTCATCATCGACATCATCATTATCATCACACTCATCATCATCAGCATCATCAGCATCATCAGCATCATCGTCATCATCAACATCATCATCAGCATCGTCAGCATCATCATCACCATCATCATCAGCATCATCGTCATAAGCATCATCGTCATCATTACCATCAGCATCACCATCAGCATCAGCATCATCAGCAGCAGCATCAGCATCAGCAGCAGCACCATCATCGTCAGCATCATCATCAGAATCAGCATCATCATCAGCATCACCATCATCATCATCATCATCATCATCATCAGCATCATCATCATCATCATCATCATCAGCCGCACATTCATTGTTACCATCAGCAACATCATCATCCTCAGCATCATCAGCATCATCATCATCAGAATCAGCATCAGCAGCATCATCTTCCTCATCCTCTCCCTCCGCGTCCTCCTCCTTCTCCTCAGCATCCTTATCAGCATCGTCATCAATCAGCAGCAGCAGTATCAACATGATCATCAGCATCAGCAACATCATCACCACCATCATCATCAGTATCATCATCAGCATCATCATCGTCATCATCGTCATCGTCATCGTCATCATAATAAACATCAGCAGCAGCATCATCATCACCATCATCATCGTCATCATCAGCATCAGCATCATCATCATCATCTGCAGCATCATCATCATCAGCAGCATCATCAGCAGCAGCATCAGCATCATCAGCAGCAGCAGTATTCTCATCCTCGTCCTCATCCTCATCGTCATTCTCCTCATCCTCATCATCCTCCTCCTCCCCCCTGCCCCGAGAGAGGGCGGAGCGGGCGTCTCCGACGTGAAGACGAGGGGCGGCGGTTGGTACCTCTCGCCCCAGGGCTGCCAGAACCCGGGCGGCTGCAAGCCTATGGGGGCCTGAGGCGGCGCGGCGAGGAGGCGAGATTCTGAGTGTGCCCAGCACTCGCTTGGAGGAAGGGAGGGCAAGGGAACGGGGAGGGGACGGGGAGGGGACGGGGAGGGGACGGGGAGGGGACGGGGAGGAGGAGGAGGAGGAGGAGAAGGAGGAGGAGGAGGAGGACGAGGACGCGGAGGCGACAGAGTGGACTCGGAGCGAAAACCCGAGCGACGGGGGAAGTCGCACCGCCACCAAAAATGTAAAGCGGGGCCCAGGCGAGGAGAAGAAGGGGAGGGCGGGATGGGAAAAAGGGGGGAGAGGGAGGGGAAGGGGAAGGAGGGCAGGAGGAGGAGGAGGAGGCAACAGGGGAGGAGGAAGAGGAGGAGGAAGAGGAGGAGGAGGA